GGATATCAGGATCAGTTGATTCAAGTGCATGATTTAAATTCATAGTTTCTACTTTGACTATCCAGTATTCACATTTTAAATGATTTGTTTTTTTGAGGCCTTTATAAAACTCTCTACTGTTACAATGTAATGCCATCTGGGATTTAACATTTATAAAATGTGCAGTTAAGAGATGCCAAGAGATTCCTCATGTAAACCAGATGGTACAATAACAGCTCTGTCTATTTTTCTGACAGAAAAATAGGGCTTTGAATGGGTTGAAGCTTATGTGAATAAATTAAGAATAAATTAAACACAATCAATACTTTAGGGACCTTGCAATTTTAATAGTCAAACATACTCAACTTCATAAACTTTTTTATTCAGAGAAGGAAAAACAAGACGGCAGACATTGGTTCCTTTGATTGTTTTATGTTTGTTTTTAACAGTATTTCTAAGGACATCAACTTCAAGAACCTTTGACATGAGAAAGTTTCTCCTTATTTTAAGTGTGATATGTGCTTAAATGAGAAGCAAAATGGAACCTCTTTTGAGTTGGAAAAATTCTCATCAAATAGGCTGAATCATTTTATTCCTGTGCAATAGAGAAAAAACTTCACATCAGAAGGATATTTTCCAGATAATTCACTTGACTATCTGGAGCGAATAGATTTCCCATTAATTAGCCCATGTTCAACACATACAGTACTGGGTTAATAATACCTTGTGCTGCCCTTTTCTGAGTCCATGCAATAAAAGGGCTATTGTAATCCCCTTTAATTTTATTTATTTTCTGTTATTGCTTTTATTTTCATTAGAATTTATAGATACTCATTAGAGAAAGTAATCTTGTTAACAGTAAGTGTTCTGCTTAGATCTTTTCTTTTTTCCTTGTTTCATAGAAATTCATTTCCTGCCTGTACTTGTGAGTTACCTCTGTAATTAAACACGAATAGCTTTGGAGAACAAATCTAGCCTGTTTTTGAAAGCCAAATTTCTTGAGATACAAGGGGCAATCTCATTAATAAAAATATGTGTTTCTGGGCTGCACAAGCTGTAGAATTTCTTTCCCAATTAGCAGTGAATGAAACTTTTCATGAAAACAAGGGGGAGAAGTTTGGTTTCCACTTTGCTGGCACTGGTTTTTCTTGGGGCAGACTGAAAGTACAAATTATTGTCCTTTCTTTGCCTCTCACTGAGCAAAGGAACATGGAACTCAGTTCTTTTTTCCTGTTTTATTTGCTTGGGAGACACATTGGGCAATGCACAGGGCTTACTCCTGACTCTGCACTCAGGAATTACTCCTGATGGTGCTCAGAGGACAATTTGGGATGCTGAGGATCAAATTTGGGTGAGCCACGTGCAAGGAAAACGCCCTACCCGCTGTCCTATTATTCCAGCCCCTGAACTCTATTTTCTTTTTATTTTTTTCACTTTATTTTATTTATTTATTTATTAGACTTATAAATTTTTGTGCTTGGGTTTCAGTTATACAATGATCAAGTACCCATCCCTCCACCAGTGCCCATCCTCCACCACCACGGGTCCCAGCATCCCCCCCACCCCCCATCCCCCCGTCCCACCCTGCCTCTGTGGCAGGGCATTCCCCCTTGTTCTCTCTCTCTTCTTTTGGGTACTGTGTTTTGCAAGAGAGGCATTGAAAAAATATGGAACGCTTCATAAATTTGCATGTCATCCTTGCGCAGGGGCCATGCTAATCTTCTCTGTATCGTTCCAATTTTAGTATATGTGCTGCCGAAGCGAGCACTGAACTCTATTTTCTAGCTAAGTCAAAATCATAGATAATTTCTTCCTTGAAGTTTTACTTCCTCTGGGGCCATGATCAGATTCCCAGGTTGATGGCATATCTGCTTAGATAACTCAACTTTCAGGCAGCTGATATTGTGGCAGAAGAGATTACAAAATCATAAACTTAATGATGAAGACTTGAAAATGCCATTGCTCTAGAGGGAGAAGACCTAAGGGTGGGAAAACCTCTCCAAGGGCTGATTAAGTACATTTCCCTTGGTCATTCACTGTATCATTGTATTACTGTTGTTCATCGATTTCCTCGAGTAGGCACCAGTAAGGTCTCCATTGTCCTAGCTCTGAGATTAGCAAGTGCCACATTGGAGGCTCTTTCAGTGTGAGGGGAGTGAGACCCATCATTGTTACTGGTTTTTGGCACATCAAATACACCACGGGGAGCTTGCCAGACTCTGCCGTGCGGGCGGGATACTCTCGGTAACCTGCCCGGTTCTCTGAAGAGCAAGAACTAGACAATAAGAGGTCACATGGTCCCTTGGTCATTGGCAGGAAAAAATGGCTTCTGGGCAGAGGATCCTTGCAACATAGCAGTTATATGCTTGAGGAACCAAGTAATGAGTTTTTAGGGCTTTGAGGAAACAAAGCAGGAAGTAAAGCTTACTTATCTAAGTAACCACCAAAGGGACAGAAAAGTCACTGGCAGAATATTTTTTTTCTCTGAATTAATATATAACATTACAGTAGTGTCAGGAGGTAAGGGAAGAAGGGTTGCTTCCAACAGGGAGATTGATGGTGAGAGCATAGAGGTTTTTTATTTTCTAAATAATTTATTTTAATTTATGAATAAATCTTATTTCCAATTATTTTTAAATTAAAAAGATAGAACAATTCAGAGGAGGGTCATTGCCACTTAAGTTTGACCTTCAGTGTGCAAGACAGCATGTGCTTCTCTGATCTTACAAAGAATTTCTCAGCACACTCTGAAAAACTTAATATGTGTTTCTATAAAAAACAATTCAATCACACCCAGTTGAAATATGCCATTGTCCTACAGTTATCAAGATTTCTCATTGGAAAATATAAGTCCAGGCACTGGGAAGGAAGGTCAAGTGTTTGCATACATGCATAAGCAATATACTCTAATTTAGATCCACAAAGACACAGTGAAAGGCTCAAGTAGAATAACTTGTTCCAGAGCATAGACACTCCAGCACTTTGAGCTTCAAGCTCAACTCTTTTTCTCAAACTTGAAGGGGTGTGTTAGGGAGGATCTTCAATTTCATATGGAATAGCTTTCCCCCCCCTCCCTCTCTCCATCAATCTTCTTTCAAGGAAAGCATTTTCTCAAGCAAATACCAGAAGGTTCCAAGATCTTTATAATCAAAAACAAACAAACAAAAACTCAGATGTTTCACCATTTCACAAGAACCTTTTCAAGTTAATTGATAAATATTTCTAGAGTCAAAAAACTCTTCCTTCTTTCTGTCCTTCATCTATAAGTTTCCTCTTTGACTTCATTAGGAATCTGTCCTTTTCCTTTGCTTTTGTTTTCATCTTTGGCTCTCTTTATCTATAGTGTTGTCACCGTCATCAGCCTTTTCATGTGGCAATAGATCCCTTGCTTGATTGTTTCATAGCAGTCTACCACAAAGTCAGATTTATCCCATTATCTAAAAATATTTTGTCCTTACTTGGGATGATTTGGGAGGCCTATGGAGGGAGAGGAGTAGACGTGCTATCACTATTAATTTATGTAGAAAAATTTTTGAGCATCCCCAGAGCTCCACAATAACCTACCAAGCCATACCAGAAAAGAAATAAATATAAGATGAAGAGTGGAAAATTAGCACATAAAAATGTATTCAATGCCATGAGTCATGCAAATTAAAACAATGATTACCTCTTTGTAGCCACCACAATGGTTATGATATACATGTTGAAAAGATTCAGAAAAATTGACTCCTCATATATTTCTCATGAACCTGTAAAATGATACAGTCACTTTGGAAATAATTTGTCCATTTCTTAAAAAGTTAGATATAAATTGTAACATGACAGTTCACTGCAGAATAAAGAAAATTTGTTTTATTAATAGAATAGAATATTACTCAGCAATAAAAAGGTGATACTGTTACATGCTTTTGCATGGAGAAGCCTTAAAAACCATGCAAATCTTAATAAAAAGCTATTCAAAAGTATATCATATAAGTGCATTATGTAGGATTCCAATTTAAAAGCAATTCTTTAAAGAGAGAAAACAGATCAGTGGATTCCTGAGGTTGGGAGTGAGAATAGTGAATAATTAAAAATGAGCGTAAGAGATGTTTTGGGGCTGATAAAATTAGATTGTAAATAATGGCCAGAACTTTGTAGATTTACTAGAAAACACTGAGTTGTATACTCGAAATGGGCCTCACAGTATATAAATTATAGATTAGTAAAATAGCTTTAAAAATCTATCTTCACAATGAACTATATCATTTCTGATTTTGGGGTGCAAATTATTTTCTATATTTCTGTCTAAATTACCAATACTACACTCAGTATTCCATTCAATATTGCCAATATTACATTCAAGACTTTTCTTAAAAAATATTTTTTTATTTAGAGAACCATGATTTATAAATTTTCTTTACAGTTGAGTTTGAGGCATGTAACATTTCACCAGTGATTCCACCAACAGTGTCAACTTCCCTTCACTAGTGTCCTTTTTGTCCCCACCCCCACACTCCTCTCCCACTCCCTCTTCACCTCCCGCCTATCACCTTAACAGACACATCACAAAGTTATGATGTGTGTTTTCAACGTTGCTGAGTGTGTATGGGATAGATTGCCAATTTCCCGCATCACTGTAACTGAAGCCCAGCCCCTGTTCGCCCATTATTTCCTTTTCCTTTCTTCCTTCCCGCCTTGATTTTTCATCCCTTCTTTGTCCTTCTCCTCTCTACACTCTGAGGTCAAAGGTGATCTAGGCTCATTCATTTTGACGGACATAAAATATAAAATGTGTCTTAGAACATCCAAGAAGTTCTCAATATTTGATGCCATGGCCGTTCCATGGGGAAAAAGTCCAAGTTTCAGGGCTGGGAACCGCTCTGGCTCCCGGCCAAGAAGCAGGGTGGCTGGAATGAGCTTTGCCCTGGGCTGACGCTCTTCCTTGTCACTGATTAACCAACTTTGTTGGAAGTCTGTTCCGTTGACACCCTACTCTACCCCAAGAGTGGTATCTGGCCAAGCACTGTGAGCAGGAAAAAATGTCTACCCGCTACCACCAAGCTGCCAGTGACAATTACCTGGAACTTTTGAAAGAGGCTACCAGGAGAGATCTGAATTTATCTGATGAGGATGGCATGACTCCCACGCTCCTGGCGGCCTTTCATGGGAACTTGGAAGCCCTAGAAACCATCTGCAGCAGGGGGTGAGTTGAACCTGTGGGTTTCGCTCGGAAGTGGCCGTGGTCGGATTTTTGCGAGGGGCAGCCAAGCCGATGAAAATGCTTTTCTTTCTTTCGAGACCATCTAAATGATTGTCCTTTTAGAGAAGGGGAGACTGCCGAGAGCTGCTCTCCTTTCGTTTCTGACTTCGTGGGGATGGCTCATAGCTTTTGAGTCCCAGACAGAGAGACCCTGAGTTCGAAGACACCTGCTTTGGGAGTGAGGCGCTGTATTTTGATTTTGTGCCTTTAAATCTTTTCCGTCAAGTGCCGATGGCTCTATTTTATTTATTTATTTTTTGTTTGTTTGAGGGCCAGACCTGGCAGTGCTCATAGCTTACTCCTGGCTTTGTACTCAGGGATCCCTCCCTGGTGGTGCTCGGGGAACACTATACAGTGGCCAGGGATCAAACCCAGGTCAGCTGCATATAAGACAAGCATCCAATCTACTGTGATATCACTCAGACCCCCTGCAAACAACTCTTTGAAAAGAACACATTGATTTCCTTTGTTTTAAGATGTCAATCTTGATTAGAACTAATGAATTTTTAAAAATTTGTCATTGTTGATTTTATCTGTACAATTAAAATCCAAAAAACCTTGTTTTAGTACTCGATTGTAACATAATACTCATTATTCTTAGATGGGCTAACTTGTTTTATAAGCTATAAAAGTAACCATTAACCTTTCTTATCTTCATTACTTCTCTTTCCATCAGATACATACATTATGCACGCCCCACACAACCTCCTATGCCCAGCCCAGACTATTATAGAAACCATCAGATTTTTTTTCTTTCCTGCTTCTTACCAAAGAGACTAAAAGTACTGAAACCTATAACTCAAGAAGAGTAAAGAAAAATAAAAGAGAATGGAACGAAAGGGACTAAATAAACCAACTTCGATTCAACATACTTCTACATGGCTCCTATGTGTCAGCCATTTCGTGCTGTTAACTTCAACAGAGATACAGTTCCTGCACTCAGTTTTCAGATGTGAGAGAGGACAGCAAATTACACCAATTATGTATAGGTTCAAAGAGGGGGGAGGGGATCAGAGGGAGCTAAATAAATAACATAGACAACAACACCAATAAAGTAAATGCCGGAATTCTTTTCTGAGCATTTAAGCTGGGGTTTGAAAGATAAGGTGGTGGATTGGTAAGGAGCACTGCATTTTGGAAACGGAGGAGGTTGACTTTGGCTGGATGTGGTTTGAATTGGAAGAGGACAGATTTTTAGACTGGAATCATTCAAGTAGCAGCAACTAGATACTCATTATCTCTGTCTCTCTGTCTCTCTTCTCCATGTCTGTGTTTGTATTTTTCCTTGTGTATCTGCATGTTTTCTTGTTTAAATTTTTTTCTTTTAATGTAATTGTTTTAATGTAATTAATTTTAATGTAATTATTCTGCTTTTCTTCTGATTTATTTCTCTTTTCTAGCCCCTTAAAATCTTACTGAAATTTTGGTATAAATGCAAAGGAATAAGAATCTGAGTCCAGTTAAATCAAGTCATACATTTGCACACAAATTATAAGGAACCCCCTCCAAATGCCATACTGTAAACATTGATGTTATATTTATTATGTGTGTAAATATATATGTATATATTCAAGTTTACATAGCATGTATAAATATACAAACATATTTTGCCTACATAAATATAATGGTATATATTAAGGAAATGATTTTGGCAGGGTGTTTTTATTTTTTTAACCTCTCAGTACATTATGAACTTTTCCACATGCCCATATATATTCTTTTATAATTTAATACTTAGGAGATCCTTAGTATTCAGGTCAATGAATTTATTTCCTAATCAACTTTCTTTTAAACAATTTGATTTTTAAAATTTACATAGTGTTGTGATGAGTATCTCATATATAAGTCTTTGTTTTGTCTACTTTTTCTCCCTCCACCATTCAAATATAATTAGTTCATTTGTTATTCACATTTTCTTGTGAAACTGAAGTATCTGAATAATTGTACATTCAGAAATGGACTACCTTGTTTTCAAAATTATAGTAAGTCATTAGTGATTTATCAATGTAACTTTGTTTTATTTTAGGGGCATACCCAGCTAGTTGTCAGGGTGTCTCTTGGCTCTGTGCTCAGAAGAGACCCTGAAAAGGTTGGGGGATTGTATGCCATGTCAGGAATCAAATAGGGTCAGCTGCATGTAAAGCAAAGCACCTTACTTAGATAATCTCTCTGGCCCAAATATTCTTGTCATTCATTAGTGGTAAAGCTGAAAATGTGGGATTTTTCTTTTGTTTCTTTAGTGGTCATTGAATTTCCACTCTATGTGCTTGTGTTTGCATGTTTTGTTTTGGGGCCACACCCAGCAATGCTCAGGGCTATTCCTGGCCTGTGTTCAGGGATCACTCCTCGCAGGCATGGGGGACCATATGGGGTGCCAGGTTGAACCCAGGTCAGATGCATGTAAGGCAAATGCCTTACCCACTGTACTATCTCTCCATGAACTGTACGTGCTTAAAAAATGTACAAACTCTATACACTATTGCCATTCTTACATTGAGGAGTTGAACACTACTCACTGATTTATAGAAAATATGCCTTTCAAAGTTCAAATGTCAGTTTTTTATTAATTATTTGTTTATTTACTTATTTTGGTTTTGGGGGCCACATCCAGTGGTACTCAGAGCTTACTCCTTGCTCTATGTTCAGCAGTCACTCCTGGTGGAACTCGGGATGGTGGGGATCAAACCCAACTTGACTGTGTCCATGAAAAATGCCCTATCTCTCCAGATCCTCTTCTGTCAATATTTTAATATATATTCACAATCACGATCACGATCATCCTGTTGTTTGTCGATTTCCTCGAGCAGGCACCAGTAACTTCTCCTTCCTCCTAGCCCTGAGATTTTAAAAGAGCCATTTTAATGCTCTTTCAGGATTAGGAGAATGCCACATACCAGTAACAATATATATTCACAGTTCATTATTAGTATCTTGACAACAGGTATTTTAAATATCTTTAAATATGTATTTTAAGTATGAGTGTCTTTATATATTGAAATCTGTTCAATTGTACTATCATTCTAATTGGGTGGTCATACTTATACACTGACATTTTCTTTTGAGATTTCATGTTTTATTTAATTTATTGGTGGTGGTGGGGTGGGGGGAATGTTGGATTATACATGGCACTGCTCAGGCTTCTGGTTCTTGTTTTAGGGAATCATTCCTAGCAGGGTTTGGGGAACCAGGTGTGATACCAGAAATCAAATCTAGATCACTGATCACCAGGCAAGTCCCTACCTCTGTACTATCTATCTCTCTGATTCTCAAGTTTTACTTTATTTATTTTTGTGGGGGACATACCTGGCGATGCTCAGGAAGTCAATCCTGCCTCTGCAGTCAGGAATTATTCATGGTGGGGCTTGGGGGACCATATGTAATGTCAAGAATAGAACCTGGGTCAGTCCTGTGCAAGCAAGTGACCTATCAGCAGTACTACCTCTCCAACCTCATATTTAAATGAATTTATATATCAGTTATTTAAATTTGAGGTTGAGGTTTATGATCCAACTTTACATTCTCCAACTGGTTAGTCATTTGTGCCAACATAATGTTTTGTAGTCTACTCTTTCCCGTTTAGTTGTCATAGTAATTTTAAATCAAGGTAATGTGAAAAATCTGTTTAGTAAGTTGTATTTATTAAACACTGTTTATGAGCACAAAAATTGTTCTAACTCACTTTTTCTAGTTCTTCTTCTCTGTCGCTTGTCTTCTGATAAATTTTAGTACATAATACTAGCTTTCTCTTTTCTCCCTTCAGAAGTATTTAAAATCCTGTGTCAGTTTGACCTGATGTAGGCAGAAATAAACGTCTTGTGAGAGCTCGCCTGTCCCTTTTGGCAGAGGGGGCTCGAGGAGGCTCTAGAGGGCAAGAGGGAGTAGGTGTAGCCACTCCTGGTGGTTCTTAGAAGATCTTGTGGTGCTGTGGATTAAATGCAGATTTTCTGGGGCCAGAGTGATAGTACAACGGGTAGGGTGTTTCCTTGCACGTGATCAACCCGGGTTCGATCCCAGCATCCCAAATAGTCCCCCAAGCACTGCCAGGAGTAATTTCTGAGTGTAAAACCAGGAGTAACCCCTAAGCATTGCCGGGTGTAACCTAAAAAGCACCCCCCCAAAAACAACAACAACAACAACAACAACAACAACAACAACAACAACTCAGGCTTTCTTTATGTAGAACATCCACTCCAGCCAAGCTGTCTTTCTGGATCTATCTCTATTTTTTGGTCATAATAGATCTTTAGGTATCTGTGTGAAATCAAGTTTATAATAATATTTAAAGGACAAGTAAATAAAACAGATTTAAAAGCAAATTTAGAGCCTGATAAATCATTTTGGTTCACTGTAGTCTGATCTATATTTATGAGAAAATGGGTCCTGTGATGATCATTAATATCCAAATTTAGGCTCTGTTAAAAACTTTTTTCTTTCATTAAAATTTTTTATTTCAGTTTTAATTTGATTCCAATTCATTTTATTTCATTATTTATTTTATTGTTTCATTATTTTAGTTCATTACTTATTTAGTTCACTATTATTTAGTTCATTATATTTCATTTTAATTTATTTAATTTCAATTTCTTAATTTCAAGATATCAATCAAGATAACATGCTATCCCCAATTACATACTGGGGATACCAATAATAATAATAGAACTATTTATTAAATAATAATCAGTAATTATAAATACTTTACTGAAATCAATAGAAAATAACATGTTATCTCCAAGTACACAGACTTTCATTTGGCTTTTAAAGTGTGCATGTGTTTTTTATTTATTATCTAAAATAAACAAGTTTGTTTTTCTTCCCTGATTCTCCTTTTCTTTTCTTTTTTTTGGGGTGATTTTTATACATTTTATTTTCATAAAGTAGTTCACAGTAGTTCATTACAGATAACATTCAAACCCCCACCCATCCAGCAAGCACCTTCCCATTAC